TTTCTTACAGAAATGTTACGGTACTATAAGTGCACTTCTGCTAATATCTGATGTAGACGTGACACTTATGCAAATCATACTCTGCATGTATACTTAAGTAAAATTGTGTAATTATCATTAAAATGAGAATAATCATGAAACTTCATTTTCTAAAGCAAACATTGGCAATGAGTTTTAAATCTATTTCCCTTTTTCTGAATGCAAAATGTTGAGATGTTTGTCAATTCATTAGCAAAGAAGTTACATTTCTGATAAATTGAGACACTTAAGGAAATTATTACTAGAACTATAATATAAATTAATGTCTTACCTTCTGGCTATAACCTTTGCAAAATAATATTTATCATGCACATCACACAGAATAGCCACAAACCCAATTTTGGTAGTGCCAACATTGATATGCTGCTGATAATTTGTGATTATAAATGTTTATGTCACTTTTGTAATTAAGGAGTTAGGATGATTAGTAGACAGAGTTTGTACTCCCCCAAAGGAACAAAAATTCAGAGAGCCATTAGACAGCAAAATAAACATGGCTGTGAAATATTTGTGTGCTGATATAAACTCATGGGAAATTCACTCTTGAAAAATCAAAATACAAAATAGTCCAAGGAAATTTTAGCAAAGCAATCAGACACTGCTGAAAGCATTCATCAATAATATTTGTTTACTGGTTGCCCACCTCACATGCCAATGTCTTAAGTGAAACACCCTTTAAGAATATTTAGCCTTCTGCTTTAGGTTATCCTGGCAAAGAAAAAGGCAATAAACTAATGCAAATTCTGCAATGCATAGAAATTAATCAGAAATTCTAAAAACACAGTGCATTTTGACTTTTTATCCCTAAAACACACACACACACACACACACACACACACGCACATATTTATAAATATTTTACATAAATGTGACCTTGCCATACACTGAAGGATTTTTCATGCAATATCGTTTCCTTTTTCTCTCATTTTTATTTTCCTGCACCCTTCCATTGTTTCCCCTTCCCAACTCACATGACTCCCCACTTAAGGAAACCTTATTATAAAACGTGTGCTTTTCTATTTTCTTAGATATGTGTACATGCACTTATACACACACAATATAGAGTTTTATCATTATTTTATGCAAGTGTGATAATATAAACACTTAAGCAACTTCCTTTTCTGACTCAGTACCTCAGCAGAAATATCTGCACATCAATTACCATAGTTATAATTTATTACACTTAATGACTTTATAATATTCCATTTGGTAATCACCGGAATTATGTAACTTTTTCTCTGTTGTTAGATATCCACTTTGTTTCAGTTTTTTGCCAGTATGAAAAATATTGAAGTGAGCATCTTTTAAAATGTTCTTGAATACTAGGGTTTAATGGGATAAGTCCTCAGAGGTAGAGTTATTTGAGTTGAGAGATAGTTTGGGTTTTCATAGCTTGCTTTCCTGAAAGACTCCATTTCCTTCAACAGTTTGGGCCAATACACTTGTTCCGACATCCCATCCAAAAGTGTCATCCTTCTTTTTAACCTTCGCTAATATGTCTGGAGTGAAGTGAAAATGCATTATTTTAATTTGTATTTCCATGCCTGGCTGTTAACTCAGGTGCCTTCCCATAGGTGTCTTTCTGTGCGGACTTGCTTTTCTAACTTGCTAATCTTGGACTTTGATGCTTTTCTGTTAGTTTGTACCTTTGTGGTCTTCTGTTAGCACTTTGTAAAATCACCAATTTCATGGCAACTGTCTTATAAAATACAGTTTGCCAAGTTTGTCTTGTGTCTTTTGACTTCATTGCCATATAAAGGCTTTCCTCTAAACATGGGGTACCAGGGATTGAACCCAGGGCCTCAAGCATGCTAGGCAAGTGCTCTATCATTGAGCTATATCCCATCACCTCATCTGTTTTTCAATAGGAAAATGAGTGTAACTTTTTTATGCTTTGTGAATTTCAATGGAGATATTTATACCTCTATATTATTCATGAATTCCCCTGGACTTTCTTCTGAGTTTTATTGTTCTTCTATTAAATTTATTTTTAAAGCAATCAGGAATTTATTTTTATATGTGATGACAATTTAGTCATCCAGTTAACAAACGTATCTGCCATTCACTTAGCACTGTGCCTTTAAGTAAAATAGAAGCAAACCTCTTAACATTTCCAAGTACGCATGACATGCCGACCAGCAAAGAAAAGTTAGGAAAACGTCAAAACCTAAGTCATGATCCCACCCTCCAGAAACTTCTGTTCTCAATATCTTAAAAAAAAAAAAACCTTCATAGGTTAAAAATAGTAAGTGGCAAGCAGAATGGGATTAGATTTTTAATCAGTTTTCCAAAGCTGGTATAACAAAGTACCACAGAAATTTATTTCCTCACAGTTCTGGGGGCTTAAAGTCCAAGATGAAAGTCATGGTTGGTTTCCTGTGAGGTCTCTCTTTGGCTTGTGGATGGCCGTCTTCTCCCTGTGTTTTCACCCTGTGTCTTCACGTGGTCTTCTGTGCATATGTCTGTGTCCTAATGTCCTCTCTTTATAAAGGTACCAGTCATCCTGGATTAGTACCCACTCTAACGACCTCATTTTAATTTAATCACCTCTTTAAAGACCTTATCTCCAAATATAGTCACATTCTGAGGTACTAAAGGTTAAGACTTGAGCATGTGAATTTTGAGAGGACACAATTCATGCCATTATGGTTTTCAAGGGCTTTGTACAACCAGCAAGGACCATTAGCATTCAAGGAGAGGGTGATCATCACTGGGCAGTCAGTGAAAGCTTCACTTGTTATGGGACTAGAGAGAGGCATTGAAAAGAACTAAAGAGTTCAGTGTGGCTGTGAAATATTTTTCCATGAGAAAATGAGAACAAGCAGTTACAGCCATAAACATGGTGTGTTGGAGTCTAATGAGGTAATTGGATTGACCAGAGATTTGAGGGGAGCATGGGAGATATCATTGGAACTGCTTGAGATTTTAAATAACCTGGTGTTAGGAAAAGTTTAAGCTTAAAGAAGAAGGAAAAAAGAACCATCATCATAAACTTTTAAATGGAATTTCATAATTGAAGTGATACTGAAGGAAGAAAAAAATCTGTTTTCATTTGTGAAATAAAACATGGAGACCCAGTTAAGGCTCTGCCACAATTATTAAATGAGTAGTTTGGCTCAGAGTGATGACAGTGGTAAGAGAAGAAGTGGTGAATGAATATTAAACGTATCATAGAATGTGTCAAAAAATAACCAGAAGTAGATGATGGCTTGTCTGTAGGAAATGAAGAAGGCTGAGGCAAAGGTGACAACAATATTTTGGGCCTAGAAGACATAAACAATGGTACCATTGAGGTTGTAGGGACCAGGATCTTAGAAGGAAAGAAAAAAGTAACCACTGGTTCATTTGTGCCTGAGGGCTTGAGATGGAAGTAATCAGTAGGGAACTAGAGATTAGGGCATGAAGTCTTGTGGGAGGGAGGCTCAGACCTCAGGTATGCACGAGGAAGTCATCAGCCTGGAGCAGTCTGGGAGCTGGATGATTCGGTCCAGGAGACAGGAGGAAGATCACTTCCTCACCCAGAAAACTGGGTGAGGTAGTCATGACAGGGTGAACATTTCCTGGAGTGCTGAGAATCCAGAAACTCGTTGTCAGCCACAAAGGTCCAGGGGATGAGTGAAAAAGTACTTTTATTCTGGTCTGTCATTAATCTCTGTTAACATGAACTCAGGAACAGATAACTCATTTTCTTTTTTGCTTTATTCCAAAAAAGGACAGAAATGCGTAATTGTTGTGATTTTTCTCTGATTGACATTTCTCCATACATTACACTTCTGTGGAGTCCTCCCATCTACCTGATCTCTTTTGTTATCCAGCGATTTTCCATAAATTGTGAAATGACTGCGCTGGATAATGTTAGAGTGTGCATGCTGCCATGACAAATATGCTCTTCACCTGGTGGGCTGGGCATGGGACTAGAAAGTTAGACATCTATGCACCTTCCATTCTAGTTGAACCTGATTCACTGCCAGCCACAGTTGTTTGCATAGAGTAAGTATTAAATATTCATTGATTTGCTTAGTATGGTTGGGGACAATTCCATTTCTCTGTGTATTTCTACGCCTGGGATTAGGAATCATTGCTGCCCATTTAGAATGGGCAATGATGATCTATTACTGCTCTGAAAGTTCTGCTAAGAGATCAGCTCAGGTATCTGTTGAATGTAGCCATTGTCCCATAGCTCCTTACCAGCTCTCACCTGATGCTGGTGCACCTGTCCAGCAGCCATCCCTGCACAAATACACTTGGTGGATAGAGCAGTCATGAGTCATGACAGATGAACAGGGCACTTAGTAAAAGGCCTGTTCACTCTGCAAATAGAAAGCCATTTGTAATGATCACCAACAACCAAGCATGCAGATCATCAGAAGCTCTGACAGTGTTGATCTAGCTTGTAGAAAAGAGAAGAAAAAGATAGCAAAAACATATTCTCCTTTGGTCAGTGTTCCAAAAATTCTAATGGTTTGGGGTTCTAAAAAAGTATCAGGCCTGCAAATGGGCAGTATCTTCATTCGGACCATACCATATGAGATAGTATTTTAAAACTAAGATCGCCCAGTGCTTTTGGATGAATGGGCCATCTCATGGGTCTGCTGGAAGGGACCAGGAAGGGACAACAGATTTTGTGAGTTTAATAACAATTTTTAAAGATTTTTCTGCCAGTTTGGACTCCTTACTCATCCTATGAGCTGCTATACCCTAGTACATATCATCAAACTGTGTTACTCTTTTCCCTTTTTTTCTTCCCCTTAGTTCTCAAAGTCCTAGACCATCAGACAAGTGGAAGAAAGCATGTGACAAGGAATATGATAAGGGTTAGTTCGGGGACCAAATGTATTTTCCCCTTCTCCCAACTTTAGCCTCAGTTGTATATATATAATTTCTTACTTATCCCAAAAGGAAAACCTTGTGTGATTGTAGTCTTTGGAATCAAATATTGTTTATGACCACCTTTCTTACAGGTATCTCTAAAGGAGAAGAACCAAAAATGTTGAGACCCCCAAGACGACCCCGAAAACCCAAAACATTAAATAGCCCTGAAGACTGCACATACTATTACCTACTACATGTAAGTGGTTCATTTTTATGATCACATGGGGGCCATAGTATTGTATGAAGGCTACATTAGGCTGCCATAGAGAAAGGCCTGAAAAAATGGAGGTGCCTCTGAGTTTCCTCTTCACTGACCTTTCCCCTCCTGAGTCTCTGGCCACTTGGCTCTTCTCCAGCCCTCTGCCTCAAGGTTCAGGTCTCTCCTATGATAGTGTACTAACCCTATCCTCCCAGCCACTGTCTCTGCTGGCCACTAACCTGAGCTTATATGCAAATATCAACCAACCCAGAAAGGGAAACCCATCATGGCAGGAGCCTTTCTGGGAGGACCTTCATGTATGGTGAAAGTAGAAGAAAGGGAAGGAAGGGGAGACGTGGACATTTGTTGAGCATCTACTAAATTCCAGGCCTAGAGTGAGGTATGGTTATATCCATTGTGATATCTCATCCTAGAAGTAATCCTTAGTGAATCCACAGGTTTCTGCAACACAGATAAACAAGTCTTAGTCATCACCTCAGGGCTGTTAATTTTATTAAAGTCTCCTCGCTCCACTTGCAGTTAGCAACACGAGAACTCATTGGCATCACCTCTGCTAGACTGCTCTTCCTCCTACATTCCTATTCTCCATGAATGCCATTACCAACCATTTGGTTTCCTAAACCAAGAATCTGGGAGTCGTCCTGGCTGGATCTTACCTTCTCTCTCATACTGATATCTGAATCAGTTGCTCTACACTGTGGCTTCTACCTCCAAAAGCTCACTCCAGTTCATCTTTCTCTCACCTCACAGCAACCACTCGTTTATCACCTGAACTATTTCAGGCCCCACCTAACAGCTTCTAATCTCATCTCTTCAGCCTACACCAAAAAATTTCACTAGACCATATATTTGATTATGCTCCTTCCTGGATAGTACCTTTAATGACTCAGCAACACCAGCAGCATAAAGTTCAGATTCCTTCTAAGCATTCCTTTGTTGGACCCAGGACTATTCTTCTTCCTCATCTCCTACCTGCCCCTCCTCTTCCACCCTACCTCCATGTCTACTTGCCATAGTCAACTGCTTGAAACTCTACTGGTGAGGAGCATCCTCTCAGACTCCCAAGTCCCTCACACCCAGTGATCCCTCCATTTGCAATTCTTATTCAACTTTCAACTCCCTCACCGACACAGGGAGGAGCAGCACTAGAAAACCCAGAGAAGGTGTTGGAACCCAGAGAACTCATTGAAAACAAGGTTCCCATATCCCCAGCCTAAAATGAAGCTCACATTTGACTTTCCGTCCTAGCCAGGCTCTTTAGTCCTTTCCCTTCCATCTGGTGATTTCACTTCAGTTTTCTCAGAAGACTCCTCTACCTCTTGGTGTTGCTCAGAATTCAATCTCACAGTCTTTTCTCATTTCCTTCAGATAATCTCATCAGCTGTCATGACCTCAATTACTGCTGATCTCTGAATCTTGTCTCTGGCTTAGATCTCTCTCCAGCTCCTAACTCTCTAAACTCAAAAATCGAACTGCATAATTTTTTTTCTTTTTTACATGTTGTGCCTGGGTGTGAGCACAGATATTTCCACACATGGGTACACACATTCATACAGCTTTGTTGGGCTATAAGTCACATGCGATACAAGTCAGCCAGTTAAAATATACAGCTAGGGCTGGCGGAGGGACTCAAGTGATAGAGTGTCTGCTTAGCAACCATAAGGCCCTGAGTTCAAACCCCAGTACCTCCCCCCAAAAAACCCAAATATATATAAAGTAACTTTGGTACATCTGCCAACACAATCAATTTTACAACACTTTCATCACCTCTAAAAAGAAACCCTACCTATTAGCAGTCACTCCCCACTCTCCAAGCCCTAGACAATCACTAATTTATTTTCTGTCTATATAGATTTGCCACTTATAAATATTTTCATACAAATAGAATTGTGTATGATGTGGTCCTTTGTAAATTACCACCCAATTTTACAAGCTAGTAACCTATTGTCCTGACTCCTCCCTCTTTCTCATCTCCCATTAAAATCATATTATAGATTATGATTGCATATTATTATGTATTAGATTTTTAAATTCTATTCTCTTTAGAAATCAATCCAAGAAGAAAACCGAAGACCGAGGAAAGACAGGTAATTACTATTTCTAGATTTCAACAAGTCATCTTGTTCAAACAAAAGTGTAAATTCATATGTTCAAATTATGGTTGAAAGTAAAATATTCTATGTGGATACATATGGAAAGTAATGTGATCTCAACATGTGTGTCTTATATGTAACTTAGCAGATTTTGCCTTTTGGAAATATCTTGAGCCAGCATTATAGGAGACATTCAATAAGAGCCCAAATATATTTTGAATGAGTTACACTGTCTCAATATAGAATTACTTTTTTCATCCCAGTGAACAGTTTTGATTGGGCAATTTGAACATGTCCTTATCCATAAACTCTCTTTTCCTGAACTCCTTTTTGCCTTTTGTCCTTCAACATATGCTAAATCTCGTCATCTGTTAGGACATCCTGCAGGTATGGCACATGTATCTCCTTTCTGCATAGTATTTCTTTCTTTCAGTATTTTGACATTTTAATACTACACCACTGTTTTAGTCGATAGTCATGTCAATTAATTTCCACACACACTGCTAATAATAAAAGGTGGTTTTTCTATTAAGCATGCAAGAACACAGAGTTCCCTATCTATGAATCGTTGGCATTCTGAAAGTTCATTTAGAAATTAGAATTTGCAACTTAAAACACATTTCCTAGAAGCACTGTAACACCTGGTAGATTTCCAAACCTATCTGTTTACCTTCTACACAGTCCTATCAGACCATCCATACTGAGTACTACAGAACCAGACTGTGTAGATACAAAAAGTGAAATGCGTGAGGACACACCCCTATGTGCACATGGTGTGCAAGAATTAAAATTCAGTACAGAAACCAATCAACTGAAGACCAAGGGGTTGGAGGAGGCTGTAAGGTTACTTGTGAAGGAAGTAAACTAGGGTCAAGAAAACATGTGTGTATCAGTGTACTGGTGGTTGATAAATTGTGTTCGTGTACAAAAGCCAGCTTTTCTAATAGTGGCCCAAGGGTGAGCTAGGAACTCAATGTGTAGACTGACCAAATTGGAATTTCATTACCACTGGCTGTTCTAGCAACTACCAGTTTTGTGCCAACTGAAACCTGATAGAACAGGGGAAGCTGCTCCAACAGCTAATGCTCTATCCAGCATAGGAGATGAGGGGTTTGTTTTTAATGTCTGATCTTTATTGTTTTGCATACTTCAAGACTTCTCCAATTTGTATTAACATGTATGTGTTGTTCAAATTATAGTAAATACTTTTAAAAGAAGAAAATACTTATCCTATAAGTTAAGTGGGTAGAAAATTAGACTGATGCTATGGTGTGTTTATGTGTTCATTTACAGTCAGGGAAAATTACTAGATTTGGAAGATTTTTATTATAAGGAATTTCTGCCCAATTGTTCTGGACCAAAGGACAATAACCCTAGTTTAAGAGAACAAAGAACACAAGAAGAACTCCAGAATCAATACTTTCAGGCTAATGAAAGGTAATAAATAACACTTTAAAGTACAGCTGTCAACTTCATTCTCAATATTCTATTTTTAAGCAAAAGTATATGGACTTACAACAAAGAATTCTTAGTAAATATTGCATCTTCCTCATGATAATTTTGTTTTAAAATAAAATCATAAATGTTGTGGTAGCATAATCAGATATCCAGTTTTCTAGCAAAATCCTGTTTATACCTACTTTCTTGGTGTAATTATTAATAGCACACCCTTTTAAAAATATTTCAGTTTAGGTTGGGTGTGATGGCTCATGCCTGTAATCCTAACTACTCATGAGATAGAGATGGGGAGTATCACAGTTCAAGGCCAGCCTGAGCAAAATGTTCATGAGACCCCCATCTCTATCAAAAGAAAAAAAAAAAAACTGGGCCTGCTCGCATGCACCTGTGATCCCAGCTATGTGGGAAGCATAAATTGCAGTTCAGGCAAGCCTGGGCATAAATGCAAGATCCTATCTCTAAAACTAACCTAAATAAATAAGGTCTGGAGGTGTGACTCAAGTGCTAGAGTGTCTTCCTAACAAACACAAGGCCCTGAGTGTGATAAACTATATGGTTATCCTAGTTATAAGAAATACATCATATTTTAAATCTATGTTAATCTCTAAACAATGCAATTTTAATCACTTAATGGTTTCTTAATTGTGCTTATAATTTTCAGACTCAGAGATGTCAGACCAAAAATAATTCATAGAAAAATTAGTATTTTGGATTTGATTTTTCACCTTACCACCAGCTTTGTGACATTAAATAACTTCTTTTGCATCTATTCACTGCTTTAAGGATTTTTTTCTCTTTCCCCCAAAATTGTTTTTGAAGTTTGCTATTGAGGGTACATAAGATGGAAGCACAGTGTGTTAGAAATGGAAAAATAGTAACACAGTTGGAAGCTGTTCCCACAAAATCTTGAGCCCATGTTCTGGCAGCCAAGGGTACTCAAACTCGCTCACCCATCTTTTCTACAGTGTGACACGATTTAAAGGGCAGAGGCGTCAGAATCTGAGAGTCTTAGATTTGTACCCCCATTAGGCTATTTAGTAATTGAGTGACTGTTCCCTGACCTCTGTAGGCCCTGATTTCCACATCTGCAAAAAGATTTGCTAATAATAACTGCCTCATTCTATTGTTGTAGAAATTAAATGGAGTAAAACAGTTCTTAGCACTATGTGGTGTAGCAGAGGTATTCCATAAATTGCAATTATCGTCTTTATTTGCTTTTCTAGAATCTATTTGAACTATGATTTCTATCCTTTGTCTTCCATCTTGGAATCCAGAACTGTAACATGTCAGTGCTTAGAGATGTTCTAGTCTGATCATAAGGCTCTGTACAGAAGAGCTCCAGGTGCCAGAAAAACTAAATGACTTGTCCAAGGTCACATGTTGAATTAGGGATCTAAAATCCAAAGCATTTCATACTCTGCTCTATTGTTTTCCACTGACTAACTGCTTCTCATTTTATCAGCCCTCTCTGCCCCCTCTCCAGAATATTCTTCCTCTTCCCTCTCTGACAGACACAGACACACATCTGCTGTAAAAGCATTATATCCCTGAAACACTGCCCATTGTCCAGTGATGTCTGTGAGTATGTAGCTAGCGTCCACTATAATAAGAATGTTGCATTGAGTGCTTACTTTGTTGTTGACACTATGTTATCTCGTCTAATCATTTTATAGATGAGAAGGCTAAATCTCAAAGTTTAGTGATTGAAAACTAAGTGATGAAACCAGAACATTTGAACACAGAACTTCTCCAGTCAATGGCTTTAACCACTATTCAGTACTCCACTTTACGTAAAGCATTGTGCTGGGGGTTTAAGGAAGGGGTGAATACAAGAGTACATAAGGTGTGGTCCTTACATCTAAGAAGCTTGATGCTAGAAGGAAAGTGTACTGATAAAAAACAAAGATCAACAAGGTAACTCCAAGAGGAGGGGATATTCTAAACTAAGGAAGATTATAGAGACAAATCAGCCAAATACAGTAAATCTTGATAAGACCCTAGATTGAAAACATGAATCAAGCAAAAATGCTTTGTCTTCTTTATTATGCTTATGTCTTTTCTTCAACAAAATTAGTAATAAGGGCAGAACAAGACCTGCTGGGAGGAGGAGGGAGGAAGGGGGGAGGATGGAGAAATGACCCAAACAATGAATGCACATGTGAATAAATGAAAAAAAGAAAAAAACAGGAATCAAAAATTTTGGAACAATTAGAGAAAATTGAGACTAAACCATATGTTGGATAATGCTATTGCAGAAAGAATATTTTAGTGTGCATGTGAATACATTCACACCCACACCCAGACACCAACCAAGAACTGATAGTGTGAGTAAGCAGGGAGTAAAGGGACTCTAGCAATGATGGATTGAATGCCTTGTGGAGTTTTTACATTGATGAATAATATTGTATTTTTTTTTTCTGTTTTTTCAAATTGTATAACCTTCATTGCTCACAGCCCACAAGCAAGAAGACTGGGCAATGGTTTGAGGCTACATTTCACTCTGGTATAGGTATACTCTGAGAGGCCCACAGAGAAGGGTCTGCCATAAATTCATCACTATGTTCAAAAATTATACATATTTATGGTATAGCACATGATGTTTTGAAATACATGTACATTGTGGAATAGATAAATTAAAATAATTAGCATATGCATAACCTGTCATGCTTATTATTTTTGTGATGAAAATGCTACTTCTGGCAGTTAGTATATATTGTTGTGAACTACAGTGATCACATTGTAAAGTAGATCTCTTGAACTTATTCCTGCCAACTGAAAGTTTGTATCCTTTGAACAATGTGTCCCCAGTTTCCTGCCCTTGACCTCTGGTAACCATGATTCTGTTCTTTGCTTCTATGAGTTTGACATTTTTAGATTCCACAAATAAGTAAGGTCATGAGGAATGTCTTTATGCATGCACCTGCCTTATTTTACTTAGCCTAATGTCCTCCAGATTCATCCATGTTGTCACAAATGACAAGATTCCCTTCTTTTTTAAGGCTGAATATTCCATTGTGTATAGAAAACACACTGGACAGCCAACGTTGGCTGGTTCCATATCTTGTGTATTATAAATAATGCTTGAAGGAACATGGAATCATAATTATCGCTTCAGAATACTGATTTCATTTCCTTTGAATATACACCAACCAGTGTGATTTTTGATCACTTAGCAGTTCTAGTTTTAATTTTGAGGAACTTACATACTGTTTTCCATAATGGCTGCCCTAATTTACATTCCCACCAACACTATACAAAGGTTCCCTTTTCTCCATATCCTCACCAACACTTGTTATCTTTTAACTTTTTGATAATACCCATCTTAAGTAGTGTGGGAGTGTTCCTCATTGTGATTTTAATTTGGATTTCCCTAATAATTAGTAATTAATGTTGATTTTTTTTTCATACCCTGTTGGCCATTTTTTACGTCTTCTTTTGAGAAACATCTATTTGGGTCCTTAGCCCATTTTTTAATCAGGTTATTGGTTTCGTTAGTATTGAATTTTTGAGTCTCATATATTTTGCATATTAACCCCTTATTAGGGATATAATTTGAAAATATTTCTTGGCTTACATATTCACTGTTTTGATTATTCCCTTTGCTGTGCAAAAGTTTTTAAGTTTGATGTAATCCCATTTGTTTATTTTTGCTTTTGTTGCTTATACTTTGGGGGTTATATGAAAAAAAAAAAAAAACCACCTTGCCCAAGCCAATGTTGTAAATCTTTCCTCTATATTTTCTTCTAGGGGTTTTATGGTTTCAGGTCTAACATCTAAGCTTTTAATACATTTTGATTTTCTTTTATATGGTTGTGAAATAAGAGTCTATTGTGATTCTTCTGCATGTGGGTATGCAATTTTCCCAGCACCATTCACTGAAGACACTGTCCTTTCCCTATTGTGTGCTCTTGATATCTTTGTCAAAAATCAATTGATCATATTCATGACTTTATTTCTGGGCCCTCCACTCTATTTCATTGGTCTGTAAGTCTGTTTTTATGCTGGTTATATGCAGTTTTGGTTACAAAAGCATTGTATATACATTTTGAAATCAGGTAATATGATGCCTCCAGCTTTGTTTTTTTTGCTCAATATTTGAGCAAATATTTGCTATTCCCAGACTTTTGTGGTCTCATTTGAATTGTTTACATTTCTTTTTCCTATTCTGTTAAAGTGTTGGAATTTTGATAGAGATTGCATTGAATATTTAGCTTGCTTTGACTAGTATGGACGTTTTAACAGTGTTAATTCTTACAATCCATGAACATGGGATATATCCCCATTTATTTGTATCATCTTCAGTTACTTTCAACAATGCCTTGCAGTTTCCGGTACATTGATATTTCATCTCCGTGGTTAAATTTATTCCTAAGTATTTTGGTTTTGGCAGCTATTATAATTTAAATTGCTTCCTTGATTTCTTTTTTTACATAGTTTGATCTCACAGGTCTAGTAAAAATGATGGCAGGAAATTGGTGGCTAGAGAATAACACTGGAGAACAACAGGAGGCCATTTTCTCATCTCCTCATAAGAGGAAATACAGTGGGGTCTGTGTTGGGCAATAGTGAGAGATCTGGATATTTAGGGCACATCCAGGTTTAAATTACAGCAAGGGGGTATTGAGAGAATGTAAATGGATGACGACACAAGAGTGCATTAGTTAAGGATAGGCAAATCGTAAAAGAAGTATCTTCAGAAGAGAGACTAAATGATAGTGTGGGGAAAAGAGGGCATTTGAACTCTTTAGACTTGGGTTTGAATTCTCACCCAACACCTTACCAGTTGTATCAATTAGAGCCAGTCTGTTTCCTCATCTGTGATTGAGAATAAGAAGAATCTAAGTCTTTGCAGTGCTATTCTTAGAATTGGAGATAATGTATATGACATACTTGAAAGATGGTGACTATTCAATATTCTTGAATTCTTCTATAAGAGAATTCAAGTCAATAACTCAAAAGAGAAGTTTCTAACCATACACATTATGCCACACAAGACCTTCCCTGTCAAATATCCATGGAGCTCAAGATGCCCTGAAAGGCCTTGCCAACGTTTCTTTGTCTTTTAATTATCTATTAAAAATAAGCCAGAATAAAGGTGGCAGGCAAAGTTCTTGACCTCTGCTTTCATTTTTACTTTTATTCATCTGCCTATACCTCAGTGGCCCTACCACTTTCTCAATTATATTCAATTGGCAAACTCTAATGTTGGGTAAACCCAACTCTCTACCCAATCTATATCTGCACCTATATAGTTGAACATGAATAGAGATAAACTCAACCTAATCCTCCTTAAAACATATGACCACAACCTTAAAACAGACCCTTAGAGTTATGCTATATACACTTCCTGGAAAAATCCATTGTATTTTCCCAGGCAACTCTTTCAGACTTCCTTCTCTCTCCTTAAACCCTCAAAACTTCCTCAATTTCCACTGACAACCTTCTTTCTATTTCATCAATAAAACAATAGCAGAGTATAGACACAAACTCCCACCACCAAATCTATGAGCTGTCTCTCCTTGTAAGTGTCCCTCAGTATACTATGGATGACCTGTGTTCCCTCCTAGCGAAGACCAAATCTTCCCAATGTGAATCTAGGTCCTTTCACCCAGTAGAGAATTTTATCCTGCAATTTGTCCTGTCTTCCTTTTCTGCATCTTGAATGTTTGTTCTCTTCACTACATCATTTCTGGCAGTCTGTGAGCATAACACCCTTATTCCAATTCTCCTTCAAGACTACATATTTTTCAGCTCTTCTTTATAGCAAAAGAATAACATGAATGATACCATCTTATCCAAATCCTTTCTTCCCATTCTCTCTTGAGTCACTTCACTCAGGTTTCCCTCTCCACCAGTACACTGAAACCATCCCTGCCAAGGCCACCAATGAATTCCATTGTGTCACATTCCAAGAATGTATTTTCAATCTTTATCTCTTCCTGTTGACAGCATTTAATGCTTATGCTTTATTTTTCTTGCAGTACCGGGGTTGAACACAGGAGCTTATGTTAGGCAAGAGCTCTACCATTTGAGTCAACCCCCAAGTCCTTTCACTTTTAGTTTGTTTTTCAGATAGACTCTTGGGCTTTTTCCCGGGCTGTCCTCTAACTGGGGATCCTCCGACCTCTGCCTCCCATGTGACTGGAACTACAGGAATATACTACCACTCCTGACCCTCAGTTTTTTTCCTTAAACCCCTTCATTGGCCTCCAGCACAGTCTTTCTCTTGGCTTGCTTTTCACCCCACTGGTTTAATTTTCTCTTTTACTGACTCCTCCTCTTCTCACTGGTCTCTCAATTCTTTTCATTACCAACATGCATTGCCAGGACCTTACATATTGTCTATGCACTAAAATTCCTGAGCTGAAATCTCTAATCTACATCAGGACTTATATCCTACTACCTACTCTATATCTCCTCTTGAATATCTAATAAGCTCTCAGACTTAGCATAAGCAAAACTAAAATCTTCACCCTGCCCCCAAGTGCGCACCTCTACAGCCTTTCTTATCTCACTAAACAGCAACTTCATCCTTCCAGTGTTTAAGCTAAAATCTTTGGGGACATTCTTGATTTCTGTCTTCCACACCCCAATGAATCAGCAAACTCTTAGTTGTGCCTTCCAAGTATATCCACAATCTGGACAATTCTCATATCTTTTCATAAGCTTCCCTACATCCATTCAGGCTGGCAGACTCTTTCATGAGTCATTTCTCCACTCAGTGTTTCTCTCATTCTGAGTTAAAGTTCACTATGTGCCACTGGTACCTGGCATTTAGTACGTGCTGAATGAAAGAATGGATTTGTATTTTGGGAAGCAGTCCACACCCCAGGCAAACTGCAGAATCTAAAGGCAAACATTGGCAGGGGTTACTAGCACTGGGTCCAGGAAAGTTGGCCCAGCTGCTTCATTGAAAATATTGAAGCACTGAAAAGCTAACAAGACCAGCAGCTCCTGTGTCACTAACAGAATGGCTGATCAAAATTAGAGAAGTTTTTAAAAGAAACACCTGAGTAGTTTCAAACTACTCAAAATGTGGATGTCTGTTTAGGCACCTTAGATTTTCCTGTTTGACAAGTGTATTAAAAATTAAGGTACTAAAATAAATATTTGCTTTATTGTTTCTACCCAAATGAAGCTAGCCTTTCTGATCTTCACTTTCTGATGCTTTTCTCAGCTCTTATCCAAACACAAAGTCACCAGGTTTTTGAATTATGCATACAGGTTTGGCCATTAGCCTGACATTTTGATTGTATCATTTTTTAAATATCCATGGTTGGTGAGAGGCAGGAAGAGGAAGACACGCCTTACTAGGGGTAGGTGGGTATGTGTTGTGCTGTGGCGCGGTTGACACCAGGCCCTGGGTCTTGCTCACAGGTACTGGGCAGCAGATAGCCCCAAGGAGGAGGAGGAAGAGGAGGAGGAGGAAAGAATGTCAACAGCTAATCCCTATGACTACAGGAGGCTCCTGCGCAAAACCTCCCAGCGACAGCGCCTCCTGCAGCAATTGTAGCCCAGTTACAGAGTGGCCACCGCCACCAGAAAGTGCCTGAGCCTGCCTGCGAGGACTGCAGGACCCTCCTGACACTGGCACCTCCAAACACTGAAGCCAGCCGAGTTCTTGACCTTTGCAGGTGCTGCCAACTGAGTTCACCTCTCAAGTGCTTTGGTCAACCTTTGGTTCTCTGAAGGAAGACAGAACTCGGACCCCTTGGGAAACCCAGACCCCTCTCTCATTTTGGGTTACTTCAGAGATTTCTTCTTTCTTGCAAAAGGCTTTCCAGGTGGACAGTCGCGGGTGGGTGAGTGCAAGAACAGAGGCCGAGTGGGGAGGAGACAACTCTGAAGATGAACTTCACCTCAAACTTGAGCTTTCTCTTCCCTTGATCAGTATGATTGCTAAATAAAGGAAGCACGTTGGAAAGTCCCTGGTTTGCAAGGCTGGTCTGCCATGTCCCGGCTTGTTATACAGCTGTGCAGGTAGCTGCGCCCAGAGAGGGGAACAAGAGATGCATACTGTCGCCCCCAGCCGCCTTAAGCAAGCATACAACTAAGTTTAAGGGGGGACGGGGATCGCACTTGCCATACAAACACAACCTGTAAAGGAATTCCCAAACCTTCAACACTCCCCATCCCCCAATGTGGCTTCCTTTGGTTCCGACACTGAGTGGCACTCTTAGGTTTTAATTTCCTGCTCTGCAGATTTGGGGAAGTCTCCGCTCTGAATATGAGCGAGTTTACGCTTTGAAGGACAGTGGGTGGGCGGAGGTTGACGGGCATCTTATTTTAAAATCTGGGTTAAGCTATTCTATGGAGGGATCATGTCTTTCATGGAAGACACCCTGCGGGTCTAGGTAGTCTGGAGACGGTGAGGAAGGCTGCTGAAGTAGTTCACTGAAGACTGAATGGTCGGAAGGGCTCTGGCCAGGACACGGATTGTCTCTACTGCGAGCGCCCTCGGCTCCTGCACCCAGGCCCAGAGCGAGAAGATTCAGGAGAAATATTTGAGGAGCGAGTGAGGGCGCGTGCAGCGGTTGATAACTTTTGTTGCGCCACTTGTCCAGGGGTTGTAATAGTCTCTCCAGGGAGTTCGCTCCGAAAGCTCCCCAGAGATGGACTACTGCAATCGCTTCATTTTACAAATGAGATTTGGTTCGGGGTAAACCTCCATTGTGACAGGGCCAAGCCCCAAGTCCAAGTGCGCCCTGGTCCCATGGTTAGCGCCACGTCTTCACTCGGGTTTGGGACAGCAGAGACCAGTCACCACCCCCGGCTGCGCATATCTTTCGCCAGGCCTGGCCCTGGCACCAAGGCAACCAACTCACCAGGGCACGTAGACCCCGGGTGGTTCGGTTTCCTGCGCCCCAATCCTTCTGCCCACCCACCACCTGGAGGCCTTGGGCAGGTGACTGGGAAAGAGCTGGGCTTGATTTGCTGCCAGGCCCATTATTCAATCCTGGCTTTCCAGGTGGGCCTTCACACCCGGAAACCCTGACAGCTTGGCTCTTCTGTAGGATAAGAGAGTCATCAGACCCTCTCCCTAAACTCCCCACTCCCACCCCCACAGTTTTTTGAGTGAGACTAGAAAATAGTCCATGCTTGGTGAAGAGTTGAAATAATTTTTGTTGTTTTTGTTTTGTTTTTGCTTTCTCTCCTTTTTCTTTCTATCCCTCCTTCTTTCTCTGACTCTCCACATTTAAGTAAATGGAAGGACACAGGAGAAAGTGTGTACCAGGTATTTTCCTTTGACAGTCTTTGGGTAAACTGTGGACCAGAAATAGGTAGAAATAGGTCATCCCCCAAAAAACACTTTCCTACTGAGTTGCCCTAGAGCGCTCGCTCTCGCTCTCGCTCGCTCTCTCTCTCTCTTTCTTTCTCTCTCTCTTCCCCTCCCTTCACCCCCTTCCCATTCCAGGAATGGCCTGAAGCTTTTTCCTAGAGCGCCCGCCTTCCCTTCCCAGTCTGTGGCTGTCTCCTTTGTGAACTAATGACTGTAATTATTACCTCCCCTCGCTCTTTTGTTATTGACAACCAGAGCTCAGAAGAGGGAGGGGGGATCCGGCTCTTTGCTAAATGAAAGACTTTACAAAACAAATTGCTGTCTCGGGAGAGATGGCTTTAAGGAAAGATAAAACAGGGTCCCTCTGCATCTAAAGTGGGACGCGTTTAATTTTTTTTTAAATGTAAATACCACCACCATATATTTAAAGTACTCCGTAGCTGCGGAATTTATTTGAGTTTAAACAATAGTAGCATTTTAAGCCACTGAGTCAAAAGGAGGAAGAGGGGGAGGGGGAGGGGAGAGGGAGAAGAGGAGGAGAGGAGGAGGAGGAGGAAGAAGAAGAAGAAGAAGAAGAAGAAGAAGAAGAAGAAGAAGAAGAAGAAGAGTTCTGATGTTGGTATTTCTACCTTTCGTTTTAATCCATCTCTTCCTTGAAGTGTGTGTGTGTGTGTGTGTGTGTGTGTGTGTGTGTGTGTGTTCGCGCGCGCGCAAGCTCGCTGGTTAAAAGCAAAATATTTTCAGGATTTGGTGTGAATTTCAACAAAAAAACGAGGCCATATGCGAGACTGAGGCAAGAGCTGTGGAGCTGTTCTTCCCGCCGCGCAGTCGGTGGAACCACGAAGTCACTGCATTCCTGGAGTTGTTACCTTTGTCACCTGGAGCGTCGGGGGCGGGAGCGCCAGAAAGAGCAGCCAAGCTAGGCCTGCGTTCCCGATCACTTCCCTCCCGCAGCCTGGTCCCGGCTTCTCTGCAGAAACAGCTCTGCACCAAGGCTTTGGCAGGACCCAAACAGTGCCCCACCTCTGCGCCCACCCCAAGGTCCCCGCGGCCGCAGTTCAGATCCTATAGCTGCTCCCCTGATCTCCTGAACTCGAGCACGCGGGAAGAAGACAAAGCTTTGTGGAGAGAATTAACCAGGGCATAATAAACAAACGTGGGTCTGTACATGGCCACCCAGGGCCCCTCCAACGCCCCTCCTAAGCGAGGGTCCAGGTAGCCGAGACTGAGAATCTGAAGGGTCTCTGATTTGACAACAGCTTTAGAGATCGGTTGAGAAGGTAAAAGAAAGAATGGCTTATGAGCACAATAGGCGCTCGCTCAGGAAGCTGAAAGCAGCTCTTTCTAGCCAGGGTCAGTCATTCTCTCCCTCTTTCTGCAAGGTGGGCGCTTCAGGTGTGTGCTAAATTAATCTACACAGCCAAGAGATGGCAACGCGAACTCAAAGGGCCCCAAATCCTCCTCAGGCGTCTTCCTTGTCCTTAAACAGCTTTTAGAGAAAGGAAAACATCAAGCAGAGAAGATTTTAACTTTCTCTCCCTTTATTTATTAGAAAAAAAACAAGGAACTCCTTCCTACCAAGCCTAGCCAATCTCACACTCCTGGTAATCCACTACTGTAGATTCCCTTTGGGCAGGGGAATCTACATTGCTTTGAGGCCCCCTAAATCGAGGGATTCAGAAGGCAATCCCTTCTTTTCTCCTCGGATTTGGGAAGCCCAAATTGCTTAGTTGGAAACCCCGTGCACCTCCTCCCCCACACAAATTCAAATCACACGTAAGCAGCTGGCCCTTCCACACTTCTGTGGGCCAAGGTCACCAAATGACTGGATCCCATCCCCCACCAGCCATCAATCGAGCCGACTCTGGCTGCTCTTCCCGCTCCTTTCCAAGAAGTTTCCGTTCGTTTATTATTTTTTTTTTCCCAGCCCGAGGTCCTCACTGATAGACTCCAGCGTGGATTTTAATTGCCTCAATCAGCAGTCTTTCTCCCCAGCCGTCAGTCAAAGCCTAGACGGTGATTCCAGAGACTCAGCTCTTGGCTGAGCAAGAATGGTGCGCCCTGGAGGCTTGTGCGGCTCAGTAAGCAGGCAAGAGGCTCTACGAAAAAACTGTAATTAGCCCGTGGGCGAACAGGCACCCTCCCCCCACCGTTTTCTCCCCAAATTCATCAGCCGAACCAGATTCTGGCTGGGCGGCTTGAGCTATTGAGGTCGCAACGACCTCAGCACCCTCTTGCAGGAAGGCAGCGCAGGAACCGTTCTTCCTTCTCGGCAGCCAAAATCAACCTTCAAATAATATCCCCAATCTATGCACAAATAAACCGGCCAAGGCCTGCCATTGGCTGAAGCCACCGCGCAGCCGGCCGCGGTAGCACCCTGGACAGCGCGACCGGGCTGAAGGGGGCAGCTAACACCTCGCGCCTCTGGCTCTAGCCGGGCGCGCCTCACGACTCCCACCCCCTCACTCAGACTCCAGCTTAGGCGCACGGTCTGCCTCGCACCCTCACGACTCAGCTCCCTCCCTCTCCCAGTTTCCCCTCCACCGCCCCTCATCTATCCCCTCTATGCTTCCTCTTCCTCAAAAATCTCTCCGGCTCTCTCTGCTTTCTGTTTCCCAGGCTTTGAGGAGTCTTCGGTCCCCTTTCCCTATGTAATCTCCGCGGCTTCCAGAGTATTGCCACATCACTAAGCCCTAACTCTCACTCGCGCTCTTGCACACGCAGACACGCACGTTTCCTGTCCTCGTGTGACACCCACCTTCGCAGCGCGGCCGCGCCAGTCCCCGCCAGTCCCCTCGCGGTGCCCTCCTCCCGCTACACACGCACGCAAGCGCGCAGGGCCAAGCCAAAGGCAGCTCGCCCGCAGCCTGCAATCAGAGGCGACGTGCTCCAGTCTCGCAGCGACCATGGCATCTCCTGGCTCCGGCTTTTGGTCCTTTGGATCTGAAGATGGTTCCGGGGATCCTGAGAACCCCGGCACAGGTAGGAGAATGGGGACTTGCAGCTAGCGAGCTTTGTGGGTGGCCCGGGGTTTGCAGGGCTACGGGGAAGATGCAGGAGGCTTTACCACCAGCAACAAAAAACTTCTTCCGGGCTCTTCGCCCTGCTCTCCAGGTAAATCCTTGACTGCCCAAGACCCCCCAACAACTCTTTGTCCTGTGGGAAGAAGCTCCAGAGTCTCCTGTTACCGCTAGGAAAGCTCCCCTAAGCAGGCGGAGTCTCCAGGACTCGAATTCCTGGACCTGGGGCTCTGCATGTTAATGTGTATGCCCTGAGCAAGAACGGAGTGGCGGCGGAGAAAAGGAAAATAGACAGGGGGACGAGGATTCTAGATCTGGAAAGAGTATGAGATGAAAGGATAGACTCGGTGTCTTGAACAAGGTTGGGAGGGGAGTTTCTTCTTGAAAGGATCGGCACCAAGAAGGCAAGTGCAAAGGGGCCTCTGTATGGGCTTCTCCTTGTCACACAAATTAATAAACAGAGGCTGGTCCAGCTGCCAGGTTCGCGCGCGCTCCTCCACCTGCTGGATGCACTGAGTCCCGGGCCACCACCTAGAAGGAAGGCAGCCCCTTCTCAGACCCTGGGCTTATTGAAGTTGTTCACAATGAAATTTCACACGTCTGTCTGCTGTTCTCTTTCTGCTTTCGCTATCCTTCTGCCTGTCTTTCTTTGCAGCGAGAGCCTGGTGCCAAGTGGCCCAAAAGTTCACGGGTGGTATCGGAAACAAGCTGTGCGGTGAGTGCCTGCGCCCAGGGAAGAAGGGCGGGCAAGGTCAGGGGCTCGTGGCCCTCGGAAGTAAAGCCGTCTTTTCACTTCCGCACCCGCATCAGCGGAGTCAAGCTTTCTCCGGCTGCGGATGGGCTGGGATGAGGGAGCTGGGCTGTCGGGAGGCTGACTGAGGGCCGCGCTTGGTGTCCTTGTCCAGCCCTGCTCTATGGAGATGCTGAGAAGCCAACGGAGAGCGGTGGAAGTGTGCCCCCGCGGGCCGCCACACGGAAAGTCGCCTGCACCTGCAATCAGAAGCCCTGCAGCTGCCCCAAAGCGGATGTCAACTATGCGTTTCTACACGCAACAGGTAAAGGCGCATCGATGCGCGCCCTGGGGTGCCCCTGCCCCACTCCCCACTCTCCACCCCGCCCACCTCCTCCTGTCTGCACCCAGCGCTGGGAGTCCGACCCAGACGTCGAAGTGTCTGCCAAAGGCGGGCCCTGTAAGAATCTTTAGCTAGAAACACTGGGCTCGCCAGCTCAGACGCAGCCGCCACACTGGCCTCGCGCTCCAAGTGGACTCCACCGCAGCGCGCGTTCCCCTGCGCGGTCCTCCGAGCTGCGGGTAGGAAGGCGGCCGCGCGCTGGTGGTTATCTTCCCTGAGTACCTGGGATCTCTGGTGGAACTCGGTTTTCAGATGTCCTGCCAGAGAGTAGAAATTGCTGAGATTCTTTCAGGTCTTTAGATTAGATCGTGAGCAATTTGTAGCTGCGATTTCACAAAGGAAGAATTATATTCTTGTGAGATTAACGCGCTAAATAATTTTGCCTCCTGTGTGCTTACACACCTAGTCTCCGAGAGAGAGAGAGAGAGAGAGAGAGAGAGAGAGAGAGAGAGAGAGAGAGAGAGACTGACTTTGGAAACAGCAGGTCTTTAACAGGCCATATTCTAACTTTGAATGTTCCTATTTGCCTGGTTTGCTCCAAGGTATTTCTCAAACATTTCGAAGGCGAAGTATTTCCGCAAACATTTAAGATGATTTCCTAACAAAGAATATTTAGGACAAACTCCTGTGAAATAGATAAATGTAAGCACACTCTTTGGGGGGGGGGAAGATAAAAAACAAAGCAAGCAAAACAATATACTGTGAATTGACTTAATTTCGGGAGGAGGAGAAATAGTAATTTCATTCATTCCCATCGTCTTTTTAAAATCCCTCCTCTTTAAAGAAAATGCCATGCGATTTTTTTGTAATGTAAAAATCTGAGTTCAAAAAGAAATTGTCAGATTGAGATCTTGCCTGAATATTCATTCCATAGTAAAATTTAAATGTGTCATTTTAATTCCATTCTTTAGACTTACTACCGGCTTGCGATGGAGAAAGACCTACTTTGGCATTTCTGCAAGACGTTGTGGACATTTTGCTTCAGTATGTGGTGGAAAGTTTCGATAGATCAACCAAAGTGATTGATTTCCATTATCCTAATGAGCTTCTGCAAGAGTATAATTGGGAATTGACAGACCAACCACAAAATTTGGAGGAAATTTTGATGCATTGCCAAACAACTCTAAAATATGCAATTAAAACAGGTATTGCCCAATTGGAAATAATAAAGTTCTTTTCCTTTTACATTTTTTCTATAAAAACATTTTCTGTTTGATGGAGTTACTGATGTTTTCAAAATTGTAAAGTCGTTTTCATCATTTACAAATAGTCGTGATTAGAATGATTCAAATGAAAAGCACCTTGTATTACTGTAAATGTATCTGAATTTGATAATATAAGAAACATTATCTTGGTACAATTTGGCAGACTTTGCATTGCATGTATTTGGTCACAGAGATGAGCCAGTGGTGTAAAAGCAACCATTTGTCAGCAGAGGCCAGTAAAAGCGACCCAAAATGGAGAAAGAGAGGGAATGTGGAAATGAAAGCTCAAAAGGCATGATCCAGCAAAAGCGGGGATTCCAGTGTAGTGCTCACCATTTCATTAGCATAGGTCAGAAACTGGACTAACCATCCTATGTAATCATTGAGCTGGAGAGATGTTGTGATTGTGTCTCAAATGGCCAAGACTTCAGATTTGAATTCCAGGTTTTTTTTGCACACACACAAAAAGCTTAACAACATAGACTGGCTTAGCAATCCAGCCATGTGTATAAGGATATGTGTCCTTCACAGCCATTGTGTAAGCAAGATAAGAAAAGAGGGGGAGGCAAATCCCATATCCTCAAAGGAGCACATTGTTAAAACGTAGTTTGTGGTCCGACTTTGGTTTTTCACAGTATTGCTCAGACTCTACGCGTATTATTCAGACTCTATGCGTATTATAGCTCCAGGTGCAGCATTTATGTAGGAGCATTCTGAGGTTTCTTTTTATCTGTACAAAATCATCTCCTCATCTATCCTGCTTTTTTCTACATTGCCTCCAATCATCCTGATACATTCAAGTAATGAAAAATAAATATGAATGAATTCCTGGGGGGAGAGGGAAGACTTGTGTATCAAAATTGCTTTGTAGCCTTAAAAAATTTGCTAGCAAATAAAACACAAGAAATAGTACATAAGCATTAATTATCATAAAAAGTCATACTTTTATGTTGCAGTATTTGTTGATAAATTATCGATATTATTCTAACCAACAACAAGCATTTTAAGAATGTTTGCTGTGAGGTTTACTTCGCTTTTAAGAGGTATTCTTTATACCAACAGAGAGGAAAGGTATATACAGAAGAAGCTTTGGAAATTGATTTATTGTATAATTATCCACTTTTATGAGACTATAGACTTAGAACTAGTTACACAGGGCAAGGAATTAACTTGTTGACTTCTATCAAACTCAGTCTGTAGAGTATGATTTTTTTTGTAGACTTATTAAATATCAATTTTAATTCATGTTCCTGGAGGAGCCACAGGACATATATATATATATATATATATATATATATATATATATATATATATATCAGACATTAAAAGATGTTCCTCCCTCCACCAGCCTTTGGTGTATCTGGAGGCACAAATTTGAGCAATGCATTCAATGCATTTTGTTTGATTCAATTCCCTTACCTAATATTTAAGTATATTAGTGGTAAGTTGCTACCTACTATTTATACCGCTACCAAACAAAAATAATCTATAAAAATGTTTTGCGTCTTCATCCTTTAAAGCTGGTGATGTTTGAAATCCAATTTACAGAATTAAGATAATGGGAATTGCAAGTCAGTGAGAGTAATAGTTCTGTCTATCAATATTCCATTTACCATCAGTAAAGATGGGCCAACTCAATATTTGGATTTTGCCATAATGCTTGTGAAACTATTGGTCAGGTGTTGCACTGATGCATTTTATTTAAAGTTCAGATAAAAATCTGATAGATTAAGTTGGATTTTAAGCAAAGTATATCAATATTAATTGTTTATCTCAATATTATTCATAACATACAAAATCTTCTGATCGTCTCTCCCCAAACAGCATTTTTAAAACTTGCCAAGCACTTGCCATCCCTATTAAATTCAGTATTTTCATTGTCCTTTGGAGATTATTTTATAAAATGCTTGTTCTCACCTGATTTCCACTTGGGCTTCAAGGTTAGAGAGAAGTGAAGGGCAGTGTGTGTGGGGGGGGTGTTAATTTTAAATGTTGTATTCATGCATTTTTTAAATTACTTTGTAAAGAAATGCAACAGGAAACTTCAGGGAATGACAGAATTCTGAATTAGTTAGCGCCTGCCTGCAGGGATTATTAGTTTGGTAGTGGCTGAGGGAAGTGGGGGTTAATGTAGTCTTCAGTTATTAATACAACCATAAGACAGAGAGAATGGAAGAATCAATAAATGAGACTGACCTTGTGTTGGTTGCCAGTTTGGTAGACTTTTGGCCCCTCACAACTGATTGTGAGCACCAGGTTGGATTTGCCAGAGGCTGGCTCATTTGTTAATCTGGGGGAAGAGGGGCATTCCTAATTTCACTTCTCAAACTCACTGTCTCCCTGGCTGCAGAGATTGTACTTGGCCATAGGATTCTTCTGTTACCTCATGCTCCAGCTCATCACAGAGCCCTCAGGGGCAGTTTGTAGGGACCACAGGAGAACAGGTGTAACTAGAGGGGAATTCTCCCAGAAATCCAAAGGGAATTTTGTTCTGACATGTCAAACTGCCTTCCTTATATTTTCACACTATTATCAGTGAATGAAAATTGTGATGCAGGGGAAAGTCAGATGCAGACCAAGGTCAAAAATTATATAAAGGGAGGGAAACCCAGCAACTGAAGCATAAAATTTGTATTCACAGTTAACCAAAAGTGCTCATCAGGGTGGATTGGACTTCTGAAGTCCAGGGACACAGCACACACCTTAGAATCCCTAAGTAAAGATCCAGTGTGATAATAGATAGCAGGTTCATCCAGAAAATGCATAGGAGTTGGGAGAGTTGATTAATAGGTATGCTAATCCTTATTAACTTCCTGACTTAAACATGGCTTAGGGATAGAGAACCAAAGAGGCATCTGGAGGGAGAAGTAGGCTGTGATTTCAGCTGTGAACTGAAATGAACTGGGGAGTCAATGAGGCAGAGAAGAGTGGGGGGTTGTTTCACAAGGCAGCAGCAGCAGCTGCAGCAGCAAAGAAGGACTTTCCACCTTTCTGGAGTGGGAAAGCTGATGGGGTCAGTATCAAAGGGCACAGAAAAGAGCAGAAATAAATACATACATAAAAAAATAGAAAGGCACCATTCGAGGAGGTAAAACAATGCTGAGGAATTAACAGGAGATGCACAAATCCCAGTCCCTCTAAAATGTGCTCCTTCTTCCCAGCTCCTATCTTTTCCCAATGTCTAACTCTCTAGCCACATGACTGAGGCTGATAAGCAAGCACTCCAGTCTAGGAGATAAGCTATGTGTTGACTTTTATCCCTGCTTTCCCCATTGCCTTCCTTTATCTTGTTTTGCCTGTGCTGATGATGAGAAACTATCACATCCCCTGGCACCAGACAGGTGTCCAGCAAGTGACAGATACCATTTTATCAGATGCTATTTCCATAATTGTTTATCCTCCAAACTTTTTGTTTCTAAGCAAAGCACAAATTTATTGATAGGATTTTATAGGACAAGAAAAGCAAACAGAATTCTAATGAGATATTTACAATTTTAAGTAATAGCCTCAGGAGTGTGTGGATGTCAACCCATTTAGTGAATTTAGAGAAAGCCAGAAGTTAATTAGATAAGGCTTGCTAATGGGCCAATCAGTCCACTGGATATATCTTCATGTATCTTATCGACAGGACAGTGATGCTGATGGTGTTCAGCTTTGTTTTACATCTTACAACTATGAGGGAGCTTTGTTGTTTATAATCAAATATTCAGATAGAGAAGAATTGAAAAGAATTAGCTTCATCTGTGCCAACTTCAGACACTCATCATCTTTTTGAATCCAGGGAAGATCACTTGCAGAGTGTCCTATTTTCTCATTTTTGCCCTGTCTTTCGTAATCATCAGCCATTTGTCACCAATATCATTATAAATGTTGGCATGCCTGGCAGATGTCATGGTATTACTGATTCTCAGAGCAACTCAACAGAAAAGGACTTTCAGCAGCATGAATGCAAACAGAAAGTGACCTGTCTTTGAATTGCTTTGGGTTGTAGTAGCATTTTAGCTTGCAAATATATTCAAAGCATGGTGGACATAATCTAGTATCCAGATTACAAACCACATGTTGTTTTTATAAGATGTGTTTAAAAGAAGATTTTTGGAGTGTGCTTGAAGAAATAATAAAACCCTACGAAGTCTCTGAAGCTAGAGGCAAGGTTGTTTGTATGCATATGTGTGTGTTATTGTGTATGTATGTGTGTATTTCTGAATTGGGTTTCTGAATATGCATTTTCTGTTACTGAAGTATCTTTCAAGGTTCTTCAGCTAGAAAAATCATGTGTTTGGGAAGCATTTATTTTCATTAGATGCAGTCCTGATTCTGATATTTCATTTTATTCAGGGCATCCCAGATATTTCAATCAACTTTCCACTGGATTGGATATGGTTGGATTAGCAGCAGACTGGCTGACATCAACAGCAAACACTAATATGTAAGTAGCTAAATAGGTTTTTGTGTAATCCAGGATAATTATCAAAGTGACCCTATAGTCTTTACCTCTTACATGAAAATCTCGAGGCATACCAACTTCAGAAGTATATAAGTGTTCACTTTTGCTTAATAGAAAATAATCCTGATATACATTTGATGCAGTAAAAGTATAAAAATATTGAAACTATAATAGGGGATTTTTTGACATTTTGATTTATAATTATGCATAATGTGAAAGAGAAATGGGACCAGATGTTGTCTTTTACATGGTATTATTCTGGAATGTTTTTTGTTCAATATGATAAACCACCCGTGTACATTGTGCCAATAATCGAAACTCTTGACCATTTCTACATTTCAGGTTCACCTATGAGATTGCTCCAGTGTTTGTGCTTTTGGAATATGTCACACTAAAGAAAATGAGAGAAATCATTGGCTGGCCAGGGGGCTCTGGTGATGGAATATTTTCTCCTGGTATATGATATTTCAACTTTTCTTTGTGTTGTTTTTTTTCATAATATGTCTTGCTATGAACCTAAGAAAATTGAACACTTAGTCTATATTTCTTATTAGGTTACATAGACTGTATGTTGATTAAAAAAATGAGTATGGCCAAGTGCGTATATACATTGGACGCACTTCCAAGCTAATTACCCCATGCTTGAACACTAGTTACTTGTACTGAAAAGAGCACAAACAAAGATGGTATTTACCCAGTACTTGTATTTTGATCCTATATACAGGATGTATGGATAATGTATAACAAAGAAATACTGATTCCTAATAGGAGAATTGACTTTGATGTTCTTCCTAGAATTAATGAAAGGGAAAAGGAATTCTTGTTTAATAAAACATATATTGCTCATGAGTGAATAACAGGGTAGAACTATACAATAGAGCATATATAGCACTCTAGTCTTTGAAATAACAAGGAGAGAAATTGATTTACGCTAATTTCAAGGAGGGCATGAAGTATCTGAAAAGAGAATTCTGTAGAGGTGATGATTTCTTTGCTAGCTATCTCATTCCTTCTCTTCATCATGCCATTAAGTCGTTTCCATCTTGCCTTTTATTGCCTGCCATTATATTCTAAGCCCCATTATTTACACCCCTTCCAGCACCAAGAATCAACATGAAACAAAGAGCTGTGCCCCCTCCCCTCCGTTCATGAGTGTGACCTTGGTTTGATGCAGAGAAGAAACAGAAGTTAGGAAGACAGTAGGAAAAGAGAGTCACTGACCCGTAGAAAGAAGCCTGGTGTGAGACCATCACCTAATCAGTGACAGGAGAGGGTGTCATCAGGGCCCTGACATGGTCCCACCGGAAAGCCACATCTGCCTATGTCAGGCATAGCAAAGGCTAAATCCTGATCTCTCTTCAGCAAATCTACAAAGACAAGTGGATGATGGGAGAGAAAGGCGAAAATAAGAAAAAAAGTGTAAAAAGAAATAATGAACAAGCATCAGTAGCCTCAAGACCAAGACTTAAATTAAGCATGTTTATTTATATTAAGCATTTTTGTTTACCAGATCATCACATCTGTTAATATATAGCACATTTTTCAGATACTTGAGGAAAAAGTGCTGGTTAAATAGGAAGGAAAGTTAGCCTTTTTTAAAAAAAAAAGACATTGAACACCAGCTGCGATGAATTTTAAGCTAGCTTTTATTTTATAGGGAATTTAGTAATTAATTTTCTTTGGTGCTGAGTTTTTGCCATTATTCCCTAAAGTTGATGCTTGAAAGTTATTCTTCAAGAGGGATTATGTAGGGCTGGGAGATCAACATAATTTCTACCTTTATTTCTCTTCCTCTTATTGGTCGGTTATAGGATTGAGCTGTGCCTGATATGTACAGAAAGCATCCCAGACTCTATTTAACAGTTCCCAGGAGAGGAATAAGACAGCAGTACCTGGTCTCTTTGACCCTCACATTTTTCACTTATTTGACTAGGAGACAGGCCTAATTAACCTGGTTGGTCTTGAAACCTGCAAGACCCAGAAAACATACACTCTGAAAAAGAGCCTCTTCTACTGGCTAGGTATGGACTTAGGATTTACCCTTCCATCCTCATGAATAATGGGCATGGAATTTCTTTCTTGGAGCTTAAAGAACCACGTACTCGCAGCCTAGCATAGAAGCCATAAATGCCATGGTACCGATTAATGTAGATATTCCAAAGTCAGAGGGAGCAGCAGAGAAGCCAACTGGCAACGTGCTTCTGCTTGACTTCCTACAAGGCATCAAAGAAGAGAGAAGGCTCATACACAACATTCTTATTTGCTAATGAATGATTTACCAAGTAGCATCTAGCCTTGTCTCTGGGTTAAAGGGTTTTACAATTTAAGCAGAGAAAATAGGGGAAATCACACGTACTATGTGCCTGTGATCTAAAAGTCCATTCCCTGGGAATAAATGCAAAGAATTATGACTATAACTTGAAGATACAGCTCAGTTTGCCTTACATCCTAATCTGTACCCAGAGCCTTCATGCTTTATGGAAAGTCCTTTAAGACTCCTAAAAAAAATCTGCTTGTGGGATGCCACCTGAACCAGAGAAAAGTCAGAGCATCACTTACTGCTCAGCAGATGGTAAGGGACAAGGACTAAGGGTGAAAAAGGAAAGCTTGGCTGAATCACAAACCCTTCATCTCACAGGAACAAGAGCACATAGGGCTTAGGCACCTCTCCTTATGCCTGTGTTGCACAAAGCAGCCTTCTTTGTCCAGAGGCCCTGAAACTTCTTCATTCTTCTCAGGGATGGAAAGTCTTCAGCTGGAGGATGACTGGCTACAAAATGAGGAGCAGATGGAAAAAGATGAAAGCTTCTTATATAATTACACTGTGAGGAGCACTTCCTTCATGCATATCTTCCCCTTTCTCTTCTCCCATTCTTATTCTTTGAAGAGAACAACTGGAGATACAGTTATCAATTAGGGGCTATTTTGTCTCCCCCCAGGAACATTTGGCAATGTCTATAAACATTTTTGGTTATCAAAACAGGATGGTGGTATGCTGCTGGCAACTTGTCTAGCCCCAAATATCAATAAGTGCCAAGACTGAGAAACCATGAGCTAGAGTAAAAGTTTCTTTAAAATCTGATCCCATGTCCAGCATCCCACAGCCAGCCTTTCAGACAGGGTATCTGCTCAGAGCAGACATGACCTGGATTCTGCTTGTCTAGTGTTTCTGGGGTCCAGAAGGGTAGGAACTGTCCTGATTCTGACTAGTGAAGATGCCAGGATCTGGCTGATGAATGTTCTGTGCCAGGTAACCTGTATGAATTAGACCCCAGGACTTATGAGGCAAAGGTCATAGCCCTGAATGGACCATTCAACTTGGCAAGGAGCCTTCCTACTGCTCAGACACCAGGATAAAAGGCAACTAAAGGCATCCACATCATGACCTGAGATAAGGAGATAGTACCTCCTTTCTGCCTCATGGTCTCTTGCTTTCCATGCCAACAAAATCATTTGCATTCATAGCAATCTGGTTTTTTTCCTGACAGCGAAAATTGACAACCCTAGGGAAAGCTCTCTTTTCTTTGCTTGTCAAGTGAGACCCTGCTAATAAGGTACAAACCTTATTATATGAAATTCCTGAAAGTCTTATGGAAAAGTAATTCCATATGGACTTAAACATTTTTAGTAGTGTGTTTTCCTATAATTATGAAATAAGATTTTGTTAACAAATAGAATTTTATTTTAATGTTTTAAAGAGGAAAGAACTGTCTTTGAAGAATGAACAGATGAATATGAAAATATGGACTTGGATGTTTATCCTACATTCTCTAAGAATCATTGATTAACACCCCCCCATTAACAGAAACATTTATCTTTTTTTTATTGTTTTATTATTCATATGTGCATACAAGGCTTGGGTCATTTCTCCCCCCTGCCACCACCCCCTCCCTTACCACCCACTCTGCCCCCTCCCTCTCCCCCCCACCCCCTCAATACCCAGTAGAAACTATTTTGCCCTTGTCTCTATTTTTGTTGAAGAGAGAGTATAAGCAATAATAGGAAGGAACAAGTGTTTTTGCTGGCTGAGATAAGGATAGCTATACAGGGCATTGACTCACATTGATTTCCTGTGTGTGTGTGTTACCTTCTAGGTTAATTCTTTTTGATCTAACCTTTTCTCTAGTTTCTGGTCCCCTTTTCCTATTGGCCTCAGTTGCTTTTAAGGTATCTGCTTTAGTTTCTCTGCGTTGAGGGCAACAAATGCTAGCTAATTTTTTAGGTGTCTTACCTATCCTCACCCCTCCCTTGTGTGCTCTCGCTTTTATCATGTTGCTCAAAGTCCAATCCCCTTGTTGTGTTTGCCCTTGATCTAATGTCCACATATGAGGGAGAGCATACGATTTTTGGTCTTTTGGGCCAGGCTAACCTCACTCAGAATGATGTTCTCCAATTCCATCCATTTGCCAGCAAATGATAACATTTCGTTCTTCTTCATGGCTGCATGAAATTCCATTGTGTGTAGATACCACATTTTCTTAATCCATTCATCAGTGGTGGGGCATCTTGGCTGAGAAACATTTATCTTGATCCAAGCACAAAGCATTGCAGGAAATGAAAAGAAATAACCATTCTCCATCAGCATACAACTAGGATTTTACAGGCCTAATACAGAATAACCAGGTTCACAAATTAAGAAGGAAAGCAAAAATTTCTATTCTTAAAAGTCTCTCCAGGCAAGATCAGAATTAATTGAAGTTCCCCTTAGTGAGGGGAATGGGATATGTAAAGTGGTTTCCACTTACAGTTGGAGACAATGTGTCTTCTCTGAACCCTCTTCCTTCTTACCTTTGAGTCTGGGAATTCAGTTCAAAGAACAGCCAGTAAATTTTCTTCCTGGGTCTAAACAATCTTAAATGCCCTCCCAAGGAGTTTTCTCTTGCCTGCTAGGTCAGTGGAAATATGGTGTGTTCCTTGCATGTGAAATGATGTTGACAATAAATAGAAAAAAGTAATCGTGTGCTGCTTTGCCTTCTAGGTGGCGCCATATCCAACATGTACGCCATGCTGATTGCTCGCTATAAAATGTTTCCGGAGGTTAAGGAGAAAGGAATGGCTGCTGTTCCCAGGCTCATCGCTTTCACATCGGAGCATGTACGTGTTTCTGTTCTTTCCAAGTTTAAGGCTATATTCTATAAAGCCCCAGTTGAAGGTAGGATGGCTGGAAATGCTTTGTCCCCAGAGGTTCTCTTTCCCAAAGACATGTCTTAGGAGAGACCGAGGGGAGAAAACAACTGAGTGGTCCAATGAGGCATTGACCTCGTCTCTGATATTCAGGATTCAAAGATAAGGCAGAGGTTTTTACCTCTAGTTCCCACCCTTTACTCCTCTGTAATACTGTATGTTGGGAGAAGTGAAAGAAGAGAAACGGTAGCACAATTATGAACTCACTGGACCATCTATCCTGTGCTCCACATAATCGGAATTCCACAGTACCCTACTGACACAACTAAAAATTTGGTCAGCTGATCAGATAGATATTCTACCTCATGGTGACCAAGGATTTCAACACCATAAAGAAATAACAGAGGTTTGTCATATCTGATCTTTGAGCCAGATCTGTCCCCTGGAACTGGCCAGGCAAAGGCTGAGAGCTCTTGTCTTCCTTATTGAATGGCAGTGGCATAAGACTTCATATTCCTTCAGTGGTCGTCAAAGAGTTCATGGTGTTTCTCCTGCCATCTGATCATTGAAGAAACTTAACTAAACAGCCTCCACCTGCCAAGTGTTCAGCTTTCTCTCACATATCAGTGTGAAGCAACAAAGAAACCACACTACAGCTGTTTGTGCAACATCTTGGTTCTGACCCCTCCTTAGGCCCTGCAGAGAACCAGGTCTCGGTTCTTGACAGGCACCAGATTCACAACACTGTTCCTTCATAACCACTGTTTCACAGTAGCCTAGGGTCTAGAAAACAGCTATGTCAAAGAAAGCAAGAAGACCTCACAGGCTAGAGAAATAGGAGGCAGGGAGGAAAAAGGAGGGTCTGTAGAGAGACTAAGGAGAGACATCATTCAGGAGAAGCAGAGAGCCATAGTGGGTCTCAGATCTACTCAGACTTTTTCTGTTTCCTATCCTACATGGGGTATGTGTCACTGTGTGTTCAAAATGAGGGAACAAAGGGAAATTACAGATTGGAAATTGGTGGTTATAATTTACTACCATCACCGTAGTCATGGAATTAAAGGAAGCTAATGATTGTTTATTAACGAATTTTGTTGAACATTTTGTTTCCAGTTACGTTTTGGAGTTTTGTTATTTTTAATGCCCTTCCTCAATTTATAGGAGTCTAATTTAGTAAAGGTGACCACAGCCCGAAATTCTGAAATTACCTAGTATTTTTTCTTTCTATTGCTGCTAAAACAAATCATCCAAAACTTAGTTGCTTAAAATAATATGAACTCGCAATCTTATACTTTCAGAGGCCAGGAATCTAAGTGGAAAAACTTTGGCTCTGTTCCTCTTGGAAGCTCTCAGGGAGAGAGCCTTGTTCAGCTTCTAGAGGCTGCCTATACTTCTCGGCTCATGGTCCCATCCTCCATCTCCATCTTCCAGTCAAGCATCCAGGAACATAGCATCTCTATTTCTAGTTCCTCTCTCTCACCACATACACACACAACACCTACACACACACACACACAGCATCACCATATCAACACTTCTAGCTCTACTCCTGTCTCTCCCTTTTACAAGAAGGACCTTAGGACTCCATTAGGCCTACTTAAATAATACAGGATTACATATCTGCAAAGCACTTTTTGCCATGTAATACATAATATAATATATACTATATATAGATAAGCTTCAGGAATGAGGATGTGGACATCTTTAAGAGTTGGGGAAGTTCATTATTCAGGCTACTGCATCAGAAGATAACTTTCCTTTCTCAGTTTTTCCAAGGGTTATAAAAGCATGATATAATTTTTCTTCTCAATTACTATTTCCCTGAAGTGGATTCAGACCCTTAAATAGTTCAGTATTTCTATATGCTCAGCCTCAGAAAGTTGAGATGGTAGTATGATGGGCATCTTTTTTTCCTTTGGCTTCTACACTATTTCCAGGGGTTGCCCTATGTGCACTGTCAGGCATCTCTGATTTCTGCGTGATCTTTTTAGCCTCATACTTGACAAAAACTGACTTAGCCTATTCCAGAAAGTTCAGGCCATGTGGTCTGAGAATAATTTTTGTAATACTTTCAACCCTGACATTGTAAACTTGGTGTCTACTTATTCATTTCCAAGAGAAAGTAAGGTGAGTTGATTATAAAACCACTATTTGGTTTTCCACTTCCTTTGTGTACCTCTTATCACATAATTATGTGTGATCATTTGAATTATGGGCCTTTCCTCAATAATAATTAGCTATATCCATAGCTTATCTTTTCTAACAGGTGAACTGTTTTCTAATGTATAATACTTATATCTGATTACTATTTAACAGTCTCCAACACATATACAGATAGGTATCTAGGTTATCTAGACAGTTATCTAGGTAGATAGAGACAGGATCAAGCCAGTTTCCTGACTCTTAGACTACTGAAGTCCCTGCCCCCCTTATCGATATAGAAGCCAGATTAAAAGATTCAGTATCTAACTTTTGTACACTACCACTTGTCAATTTACTTAACATTTTATACTTTCCTTAGTCAAATTTTCACCATGACTTTTTTCCTTTATGTGTAGTGATGCTAAATTATTACTCCTTTCTCCTATCCAAAAAGAAGCCCTTCTCATTCTCTCCTAGGGCTGGGCTGAAGGGGGCTTTCAGTGCTTTTTCTCTAGGCTAAACAATGTTAGTCCTTCAATAGGAGTTTCTTTCCAGCAGTGAGAAAGGGTGATTCAGGGGCTGCCACATTGATCCAGTGAAGAAAGGGGAGTCTAATGGCAGAGGCAAGGTTGCTGCAAGTGTGTTTCTTCCTGTTCTTCAAGAGGCTTCCAAAACCTTTAGAGAATCAGATGACAGCCTCAGAAAGTATTTGGCTCATGCTTGAAACACAGGAAGCTCTACACAAATATTAGGTATCTTTGAAAAACCTTCTTGTTTTATAGATAGAGAAACCAAGCCCCAGAAATGGGGACTACTTTTCCCCAGGTTTCTTAGCCAGTCAATGGCAGAACCAGACCTACAGCCTGAGTTTTCCAACCATCCAGATTGTTGTTTCAACTACTGGGTTGAACAACCAAACATCCTCTCTGTAGCTGTGTGTTCTGAGGTCACTTGTACCATGTTGTCTCTAAACCCATTTTCTTCATGTTGGTTATTGTAGTGCTAATATAATCACCTCATCTACTGAACCAGGTCAAGTTTCAAGTTACTGTGCTTTCCTCTATTCTGAGACTGAGTTTATAACCTGGCATGTTTAGAGTCATAAAGATGGAAATGATGTTAAGAAACTCGGTGATCTATTGCATCTGCATTCAGGGGAATGCAGAAAATTCTTCAAGGGAAGAAGGGAAGAGTCATCTTTTATTGTTTCATAACCCTGTTTCTCTCTCTCGCTCTCGCTCTCTCTTTCTCTCTCTTTCTTACACCACACCACAACTTTTTTTTACTCACAACTTTTATGGCCATCAGCATGCACTACAATTTTACCTAATTGATAAGAAGAGCAAGCTACTACATGTTTCCATTTGTTCAGTTGAGTTTCTTTCTTGCAAAACTTGGATAGGATTAACTTAAGCAAATAGTACTGCTATAAAAAGCATTAGATGAAGTAAATAAAAGACTGAGCTTAAACAAAAGACAGTATTTGAACCATGAATAAAAAGTTTCAAGACTACTTTTCGGCAAAACATAGCATCACAAAATGTCAGAATTAGAAGGGACTATAAAGCACATTTTGTTCTGCATTCGCCTTTTGCTGGAATCTTATTATCTTCCTCAAAACTTCCTTGAAAGAAAGATTTGACTCTGATGAGTTCTAGGGTCCTATCTTTCTTTCTTTCTTTTGTTTTTTTGTTTTGTTTTGCTTTTTGTTTTTTGCAGTACTGGGGTTTGAACTTGGCCTCAAGCTTGCAGGCAGGCACTTTATCACTTGAGCCACTCCACCAGCCCTTCTAGGTCCAAAAGCAGGTTTAGAAGGAAGACAAGATCTAAGCTCAATAATTCACATCTGTAGCTCTGAATCCTTTTAAAGCCTGAACTATGGACTTAATTTCATTTTCCTCTTATTTTCTCATGTACACAAACTCTACCAGAAATACTTTCCATGGAAGAGCATAATATCATCTAGGAAAATTCTTCTTTGCAATCATAACAGACAACAGAATCTTTTAGGCAAATTGCCATAACTAAACTCACTCCACTTGTCACACAGCAAGCCTAGCTTATATCTAGTCTCCTGTCACCAATGGTTTTTCCAGGCCCCTCATGGTCTTAACCCACCCTTATGGGGAGGTAATTCTCATAATTACTTTAGAAAGATGGTTCCCACTTATGACTATTTGGGAGAATTTCAATTTCAAAAATAGTTTTTAAAAAAACAACAATATGATAGATAGATGATAGATAAAGTAAAAACAGTGAGCCAGGTAGCTTGGAAAAAGACAACTGCCACGAAATGTAATGTTTCCCATTAGGCAGAAACTTAGCCTGACAAAACTGACAGTAAGTGAAAAACATGAGCTAAATTCAATTTCTACTCAGCAGCCCTCCTCTACCTCTGCATCTGTACCTGCTTTTCATTCCAGAGATCTTATCACTCCCATGTTACTTTCTCTACCATCCAGTCTCATCAAAACCTACTCTCAGTAAAGCACCTATAAGCTACACTGAGGCCTGAATTATTAAAACTCAAATATTGCCTCTCCAGGTATTTCTGTTGCAGTGATGAAAAAGGACTGGGATAGTGAGACATAGCTCCAGCCACTTTTCAGTGAGATGCTTTCCTTATTTCTTCCTTCATCCAGTGCTGCTCTAAGCCAGGCACTGGGGAGATAGCCATGAACAATGTGGGTACAGACCCAGTTTCTGCCCTTGGGAAGCATATGTTGTTCTGAAGGAAAAAGCAAGAGGAAGAGTCTGGAGGGAATGATCACCTATCCCAGTGTCTCTGAAATCATATTCCACACCAGGTGACTGATCCTCCTTTGCTC